GGTGCAGGTAGTTGGAAAAATGATAGAGAGTGAAAGTCATTAACAGTCTGAACCCCTGCAAGTCTGCAAAAATTGCCAATCCTAATTACACCTCACTGAGTATCCTTTTATTGTGAAGCACAAAAACACTAATTATGATTAGTGTCCATTAGAATAATTTGATCTGGGAAGCATATGATTTCCTAGGGTAGCTGTGCACATAGTTCTAAATAGCTCTACGTTCTCCCCCTATTGTTATTCCACTATTACAGAGGCTGTTGATCACAAGTGAAAAATCTTGGTATATACCGGCTTCCTCCAACAAAAATCCTTGGACCTCCTTTGTTCATGTGAACTGTCTTGAATGCATGTGTAATAATTATGTATATTTTATTCATTAAATCCACCCTGTGCTTCCTTTCAATGGCCATGAAAAAAGCCTCACTATACAGTCCACTTCAGATACAAACTGCAAGTCTGTGGTGAATTCACTGGATCTGCAGAACACACATATGCAATTTTCTTCTAATTGTGCACAGGGTTACACAACTACACCTCTCACATTTGGTCTGTGAATCCCTTCATTGTTCAATATAAGCTTTTAACATTGTGAACGCTGGTGGAATGCTTTGCATGTGTCTCCAAATAGCTTTTGCTAGCTATGGGGCAAGAGCATTGGAGTGTTGGAAGGTTAATTTTTATTGCTGTAACTCTTGTTTTATCTATACAGAGGTTTGAAGGTCACAGAATTTCAAGTTCTGGAAGAATACAAGACAACTCAGAGCTCCCTCACTTTGTATTAATGCCATTTCTGCACCCTTTGCACACAAATTTTGGACTAAGTAGCTTGTATCTGCTTTTATTTAAAGCTACTTCTAAGTAGTACGGAGCGCCATTTCAGTCAAAATAAATAGCTAATCATTTGTAACGCTTAAACTGTTTAAAAACCCCTATATAAATAAAAACTCTGAGGTAGATGGATCCAATAAAAAACATACCAGTTTAAATCAGTACTTCACAGGGGTAACCTCACTACTTTTCAGCAGACTAAATCAAATTTAGCTTGGGAGCAGCAAATTGATATACAAAGGAAATATAAATACAAGGTCCAAGGATAATTACGAAAAAGCCCTCTCACGGCAGTTTTCATGCATGCTAATTGCATTCTTGGTCATAATCTAACATTCAAAATGTTCTCCAGTGTGTGGGGGGGGAAGTAGTTAACATCATTAGAAACACTGTAGATTATCTGTATTTTGAAACTCACAGAAAAAAATCAGACCTGGGAAGGATTAAGTTGCTCGGTGCTTTTATTTCACAAAAGAATGCACATCTCGGCAAACATGTAATATCATACTTTCCACATATCAGCAGAGCTCAGGCAGCAGCAAAATGTTACCGATCTCTATGCTTTATTGGACGTTAAAAGGGAAAAAAAGTATATTGAGCATAATGTTCAGCTAGAAATATTGTCAAATACATCCCTGGTTTCAGTCTTTTTAAATTAAAATAGATCTTATGCTGCCTCCTGTTGGTCACCTACAAACAGAAACAGTTAAATTAGACTCCACATTACAAACTGCAGACAGGGACATTCTATAGCCTATACCTTACGTACTACCTACTACTATTCAGAGGAGGTATACAACTTTCTTCATGGAGTAATACCAGAAATAAATCTGACCCCATAAATCAACTCCATTTTGGGAATATAATGAACTTTTAACAGCAGTAAACTTACTACAAATGTATTTAGAATATAGAAAACAAATTCATTAGTACATAAATAATAATCATCAGGTCTGTGCAAACATAATCCATATAAACACCTGAATAATTGATATTTATTATAACAACTAAACCAGTATGATAACTTTATTGAAGTGCCATAATATTTTGATAGCATTCTTTAAAAATTAAGATTATCCAATATTACCATTACTGGATATTAAAGTCCCACATACAATATATATTCTCTTCATGTGTATTATACCGGTCATGCTTATAATGTGTTTTGTGACAGAATACTATTAGAAATGTTTTGGTTACATCATTTAAGTGCAAATAGTAGATTATAACTTTACATGCAATTTGTATGTTTTAAACATCTTACTGTATTTCTGTGAGAGCATAGGTAATAACTAATCTAGTTATTGACTATTTTTAGAGGAAGGTACTTTTTTGTAAAGTACTGTGAGCTCTAAAAGGTCAGAAAAGATGTAGAAAATCTCTCTCTGCACTAATTTTGTGACTTTTTAAAAATTGCACAACAGCTGCATAGACTGAAAAATCTATTTGATCCAGACCTACAGCAGTTACTGATGCAAGTTACTTGTATTCTTCTGAGTAGTGTAGTTGACTTCACTGAGATTTCTTTCATCATTACTGATTAATTACAGGATTTGGAACATACGCCCTTAATTCTATCATAAAGCCTTGTTTTTACCCATGACTTTGTAACACATCATCTTCTGCACTGAATTGTGCTATCAGATTTAACTCTCTGTATGTCAAATTGTGGCAAATTACCTTCTTTGCTCTGTGAGAGTAGTAACACAGGCTTACCTGCATAACTGAAGAAAATTCGTACTATTTTACAGTAACTTTTCTGTAAGCAATAGTATAAAGTAACTGACAATATTACATTATTTCCTGATCACTGGAGTTCAACTCCATTTGAAATCCATGACTGATTTGTCAGACTGGGAACTGACATTAGTTCCTGTGCAAATGTAGCATAGAATATTAAAGAAGCATGTCTTATTTTCCAGATGAAGCTTCATTCAGTTTTCATTGTATGTACTGAGTAATTTACCACATGCGTCATCGCTCTGTCTGATGTCATATGCCAGAGGCTTATACATATAGCACGTAGCTGGATGGAAGACTGCCAAAAAAATTTGCTGTAATGAAAAATTAAAGGAAAGAGCATCACCTGAATTACTGACTGACTCACTTGCTGTTATGTGACCCAGCAGTTTGGTCATGACAGCGGCAGTTAAAAACCACTGGCAATTCTCTAGTCTCTTCCAATTTGCATAGCTATTTATACCCATGTACTATGGGCATAGTATGTTACTTTTCTCTTTGCATAAATTGCATACTCTCATTACTTGGGTATAAAAACAACACAAAAATACAAGCAGAGGAGTATTGGGCCTTGTATCTCTGATGAAGTGACAAATTGCAATAATTAATGGTTAATGAAATCTCTATGCCACCATGAGTAGCCTTACTAATGCTAAACCTATATGTCTCCTATATGTCTATTTATTTTTCTCCTAGTGTTTCAGTAAGCAGGAATAGTATTCTCCACGTCTCCTAAACTATTCAATACATTTGCTTTGCACTATCAAAAAGTAGCTGTGTTCCAATATAAAAATGCTTGCATTTCAGCATGGTGATTGTATCAGTTACCTGGCTAGTTATGGTATGATTTGGAGATTCAGTATGAAAAGACCAAAATAAATGTGGAAGTTGCCTGAAATACTCTTAACAACAAGCTATTTACTTCTACAGAAGTGCAACACATCTTAATACAAATAAATTATTGAGTGGGCAGGTTCTACTCTATTAATATATTATCCAAATATGCACAATTTTCATTTACATCCTTATGAAAATATTTATGATGAATGTTATCTAAATTTCTAAAGGATGTGCTAACAAATTATAGAGTCAGTTACAGAATTGGAACTTTCCATTGTTTACTGTTTTAAAACAGTAGTATGTTGCTAGGCAATATTAAGCTTTAAACAGTAATACTGAGCCTGAGTTTTGCAGAAAGTACATGCAGTAGTGACGGGACAATGAACTAATTGTGGTCATCTCAAGCCATATGAAAGATGTTTTAGACGCCTCACTAAATTTTAATTTGGAAAATATGTGCTTAGATGTTTAGAACCATTCTGTCTGGCGTAAGACAACCTTACTGCTTAAGTGGTACTTACATGGAACATAAGGGTTCCCAATATCTTATTAAAAAAGCTGAAAAGAAAGAAAATTCTCAGGTTGTGGAAGATTACAAATGAATTTAGGAAACCTTGCAAATTTCAGTGTCCTTCTGTCAGACACTTTGTATGCATGAGATCAAATTTACTTCACAACCTATGCCTAGACTAATATTACTACTGAAATTCAATTACAATTTTAACATTGTAATAGAAGACTACTGAAAGTTTATCAAGTAATATATTGTGTAGTGTTTAACATGTAATATTTTAACACTTTAAATTACCATTAAGTACAAGATTAAAGTGTTTTAATTAATTTAAACCACTATAGAAGTAAAAAAAAAAAAAAAGGGAATTCTTTCACTTCAGAAATACTATTTACTTTTTCTTTAAATAAGGGGATTTATTTTTATAACTTTGTATTTGATGTATTACAAGATACAAACTTTTCCCATACTTAACCAAAGCAGCAACTAAAATTTCTTCTACAGCTTGCTGCTCTAGGCAGCCTAGTGGCTGCTTAGTAGATAGCACTGAAGACTTCAGAGATGGAAGACTGCTGTTAGAAAACACCCCAAAGTGTTTTTCCTTTAGTTAACAGCATGACTGAAGCAAAGATACCACATGAATCATCCATCCTGTAGAAATCTTGCCCACCCTGCACTGTTATCAAAGTTAGTGGGATGAAAACAGAAAGTACAGCTACTACTAAGGCACAAGGATGGAGGAAAACTGGTAAAACTGAAGAGCTGAATTAAGATGATAGGAATTATCAGTCTCTCCAAGTCAGATACCTGGTTGTAATGCTGTGAAGGTCACTTTGGCTCTTGCCCTTGCTAAGGTCACTATAATAAGGTAAAGCTGACAATGAATTCCTCTTACAGGCTTATGAATATATAAAACCCTAAATAAAACACTAATGTAGTTTTCTTTTAAACTTCAATTACACAGGGATAACAGTTTCACAGTCAGTTTTCTCACTCAGCAATTTGTCTACTGGGACAACTGTGAATATTACAGAAATAATGGCACATATTATGCAATTCCTCATGACTGCTTTTTTGAAAAGTAGTATGATTCTGCAAATTTTTTGGGTAATTACAGAGAAGACTTGCATATAAAATTAAGTAATACTTCTATATAATGACTATAATGAATGACAATTTAATGGATTCTTCCAAAAACAATTATATAGCATACAATTTAAACTGAAGATTTAAACAAAACAGTACATATCTTTCCATCTGTAAATTAATACCTAAAAATCTGTTCTAAAACTTGTGCATTTAAATAGATTCTTTTCACTCAGGAATTTCAAAATTCTCCAGAGCAAATTGTCAGTACAGATGACCAGGGGTCCCTATATTTATTAAACTGGATGACCTGACAGTAAAACTCAGTTAAGGCTCTTGGCATAGGTGAAACTTCTTCCCACTCAGACCTACTACTGTGGTAGACTTGAACTTCATCTGTGATTTCTTCTGGAGCATAATCACCGCCTAATATATAAATTTTGTCTTCTGTCCCAACTGCCCCTGCATTAAAGCCAGCACATTCAAAAGATCCTTCCCCTTTCCAAACACAGGTTTCTGGGCAAAAACTGTAGACCTTGTAGGTGGAAAGATCACATATGTACAATGTACAGTTCACTGGAACAGCTTTGATTAGAGTTGCATGGAAAAATTGCCCAAATTCTGCTACAAGCTCAGACCACTGATCAGTCATAGCATTATACTTAAAGAAACAGTCAAGAGATGGATTAAAGGCATCAGTAATCTCTACTTCTGAGCCAAGGACGTAAATTATATTCTGACATGCACTTGCTTCTGGATAGTAGATACCCCTTGGTAATTGACTTACAGATTTCCAATCTTTGGAAAGAGGATTGTAAGATTCTACATCCAAAAGACTTCGGGTTTCTTGAGCTCCTCTGGTCTTTCCACCTATTACAAACAGCTGGTTTAAGGTTACAACAGATGTGTGCATTGTCCTTGGTTTTTTCATAGCTGACACTACGGAGAATTCATTGCTGACTGGACAGTAGCACCAGGTTTGGTCAGTGGCATCATGAAATGGTTCAGCAATATGAAGCCTGACAGTCCTATAACAATTCCCTTTGCATCCTCCAGTCATAAATATTTTTTCTCCATAGCTAGATAAACTTGACCCTGGAAGATCAATCATGTGCGTTTGTGGTAGTTCTTTCCATTTATCTGTTTTGATGTTGTAGCAGAATGTATGTCTGTTTTCTCCATCTTCATCAGTTTTATGAACAAATATATATTTTTCTGTTGTTGAAGGACGTGCATCGGGAAACAGTCCACTAAAGTTTTGCACACTTTTAACTGCATCACTGATTATTACTGAGCAATTAGCACTCTTAAGTAAGTGTTCTTCAGAATGTAAAAAGTCCTGCAAAGTCTTTTCAGATAACTGGTGTAGTCTCACTTTTTTAATCAAATTAGGCAGATATTTCTGTCGTGTTTCTAAGTTGTGTTTGGTCCACTGAAGGACAGCTTTCAACACTGATTCTTCCTCAGGGACATTTAGTTCATCAGCCTCGAGACATTTTTGTAGTATCTCAAAATTCATCTCCAAAAAATCACTTGATCTGAGCAGCAAGGAAAAGTGGTGCTGTACAAAATCTAGCGCATGATCAAATAAGCGGACAGAACCATAGCTTTCTGATAGAGAAAGCAACTGTAAGCAATTCACAAGATCGATACTTTTTATTAGAAAGTCACTGCAAGCTTTGGAAAGGAGTGAAACTTGAAGAAATGACGACAGTTGGAAGAGCATTTCCACATTATCATCTGTTATCTCTGTTTTTCCTGTGTAAGCATAATCAAGAAAAGCTTTCACTGCCTTGGGTGATAGATTACTAATAGTAACATTGCCATCATCTCGTTCTTTCATATTAACTTCAAACATGGCTCTGTGAATAAAATATAGAAGATATACACACAAATTAAAGATCTAGCAAACATCAGAGAACACTGATGTGAGAGGAAGGAGACAATCAGGAGCATATAACAAGGTGGGCAGGCTGTATAGATCTTAACTGTGGAGGTTTTAATAATTAAGAACAATGCATTTGCTTGATATGGTTGAAGTAAAAAGGAGTGGTGCTATGAACATACTCAAAGTGATGGCTCATAAAAATGATAGCAGCACCTGTGTTTTGTATGGATTTTCACAGAAAGAGATGAAGTCTACAGCTCTCAGTGTGGGCAAAAAATGTGAAATTGTTAGGGACAGCATCAGTTTCAACAGCTTGAGAAAGAAAGGCTGATTTAAGAAATATATAGTAAAAAAGCCCCATGATTTAGGTCATGCACTGTGGATGAATACAGAAAATGAGGTGAAAAAAGGCCTTCCAAACTGCAGGCTGAGCAAATGGCAGGATGGATGATGGGTGCATTCCTCAGTAATAAAAGTGGGTGAGGGGTGAGTGGGGAGAACAAATATGAGGAAATTTAATTCTTGCTTTAGAGTTGACAGATAGATGTATGGGTACAGACAGACGTCAAAAAAAAATGAGCTTTCAACATAGGATTGGATGATACAATGAAACTTGTGCAGAAAGTAGATTGTGACTGAATACAAAGACAATGGTTGAAATAATGGAACAAACATTATTGATCAGTAGACCTGTGCACATTTTATTAATTTTTTGAGTCCTTTATTACTAAATATTTAATAACTAACTCTTTCACAATCTAACGTGGCAAGATAACATAATTAAGGTTTTTCAAGCTGGTAAGTGCTGGCAACAAAATAGTGCTGCAACATCACCTGCCCTACCCTCCCAGAGCCTAAGCATCCGGCTGTGGTAGCAACAGCTCCTGAATTGGACAAAAGATAATATATAACCTGGGCTAGTAATATACCGTAGGTAGTCCCTCTTAAAAAAAAAAAAAGAGTATTACTTCATAGTTCTGTTATATAATTAGTATCTGTATAGTATATGATTTTTAAATCCCGTATTTTTATGAAGCAAAATAGAAAAAAAAAATCACTATGTATAGCATACTCTTTGGGAAGTGAAGATCAGGTAAAGCAGGAACTTGTGTGACCTCCCGAACAAGGACGTGAAATTACAATAGGACTCTTATGTCCCAAAGACCTTTTTGCATACTAAATGGCAATCCATAGAATCCTTTCCTCATTAACCCGAGAACTATGATAGTTCTCTAAATCTCTACTTTTCTCTAAATTACAGAGTAAAATTGAAAGGGTGCTGGAAGTTTGGGAAATCTTTGTTCACATGCAATAGCAACTGAACAGTACTAGTAGAAGGACAGCAATCTAGGCAAAGGCTTCGATTCTGAAAGCTAAGAAGCAGGAACAAAATGTTGCTGAATCTTGGGTTTAAATAATGAAACCAAAACAAAGAGAAGTCCAAAGGCCAAGGAAAACAAAAGGTGTTTCCTTTTAAAATTTATCTAGTGAACCTAGTTACTTCTTAAGGCAATAAATGGGCCTTGCATTTCAGGACAAATTATGAATTTGATGGCTGCTGCTATCAACTGTTAGACACAGGGAGAGGTCTCTCCTGGCAAATTTTAACCTGAAGAGCCTGTAGGTAGTGAAAAGGCCACATATGTTACCATGTGCTTAACTTCAGTACCAAAAATTACCACTGGAAGCTATTTCATGCTAATATTCCTTTCTATCAGGGCACCTCTGTGCTGTCAAGCAATAAACACTTGAAATGAAAGTAGTTCTGTGTGTCAGAGAAAAAACAAATTTGCTGCTATACTGGAGAAACAGCTTATTTCATATGCATTCTTCTTTTTTCAGTAGTCCTAACAACACATCTAGCCTGTGTCCTCTGTCATATATGATAGACTCCCACAGACCATGCAATGCTCCAGGCCATTTGAAAATAACACTTGACACCTATGCATGGGCAAGTAAATCAAGCTCATTAAGTCATTTCCAGGAACCCATTTTTTCGTTGTTACAGCATCTTAGCTTTGTGTTTTAGTAAAGAACATATTTGGAGACACATTTTCAGTGTGGAATTGCAAGTTTGAGCCTTACAAATGAAAAGGTTAACACGGTGGTTGACCACAACAACCCCATGTAATGCTACAGGCTTGGGGAAGAGTGGCTGGAAAGCTGCCTGATGGAAAAGGAGCTGGGGGTGTTGACCAACAGCAGGCTGCATATGAGCCAGAAGGGTGCCCAGAAGGTCAAGGCCAAGAGCATCCTGGCCTGCATCAGAAATAGTGTGTCCAGCAGGTCTAGGGAAATGATCGTCCCCCCATACCTGGCACTGGTGAGGTTGCACCTCAAATACTGTGTTCAGTTTTGACCCCTCACTACAAGAAAGCCATTGAGGTGCTGGAGCGTGTCCAAGGAAGAGCAGCTGCTGAAGGGTCTAGAGCACAAGTCTTAAGAGGAAGAACTGAGAGAACTGGGGTTGTTTAGCCTGGAGAACAGGAGGCTGAGGGGAGACCTCATCGCTCTCTACAACTACCTGAAAGGAGGTTGCAGCGATGTGGGTGTCAGTTTTTCTCCCAAGTAACAAGTGATAGGACAAGAGGAAATGGCCTCAAGTTGTGCCAGGGGAGGTTTAGATTGGATGTTATGAAAGAATTATTTACTGAAAGGGTTGTCAAGCATTGGAACAGGCTGCCCAGAGAAGTGGTGGAGTCACCATCCCTGGAGGTATTTAAAAAACTTGTAGATGTTGGACATGGTTTAGTGGTGGAGTTGGCAGTGTTACGTTAACAGTTGGACTCAATTATCTTAAAGGCCCTTTTCAACCTAAATAATTCTATGATTCTATAATGTTCTTCATAAATTAATATCCTGTATGTGAATGATCTGCCTGCCCCTTAAGAATGCATAGCTTTAAGCACCAAAAGGAATATCACAGATCCAGTTCTTGCTGAAAGGCTGAAATCTGTAGAAAAAATATGGTATCTGTTTAAATACTTCTGAAGACAAACTATTATACTGACTACTCATCTTAGACAAAATCCAGCCCCATTCCAAAACCATGTAGAATTTATCCACAATTGCTCTATGCAAGGTGTATTTGTAATCAACCTATTATGTTTCACAATATAAATGTGTCGAAGTACATAGACTGTCCTACACAAAGTCAAACAATACCCCTGCAGACCTGCAAGTACAGATACAGGCAACAGATATGTCTTAAAGATACACAACTTCTGTCAATTCTAGCTAACAGTAGAACCACGCACTTATGGTTTGACATTTGTGTTTCAGAGTATAGACTGCTGTCTGAATCTCAAATTCAGAGTCCTCATGTCACTTTGGAAATACAAACAGATGCATTTGGGGTATGGTTAGGCATTTAACACTGTAGTTTTGTTTTGGTTCTTTTTTTGGCTATCCTTAATGTGATGGTTGAACTTTTGCTCAAAATTCATGAGACATATATATGTTGTGATTATTTATTTTGTAATTCCTGTAATTATATTCCTTCCCTCCCTCCCTCCCAGAGAACTTACAATCCATCTCCTGCAAACTCATGCCAAAATTAGGTTTACCTGAAAAAATCACTGCACGCTGCCAGTACACAACGATGACAAGGAATTATTTCATCTTTCACAAGAATTTTAAAGTCAAAAAATATATTTTGTTCTCTGAACTTTTGTAGTACTTTTAGAATTTGTTGTCCATGACCTTCAGCCACTAAGGAATTGATTTTATTTTCAGGAACAGATATTCCATTGCAAATAGGTCTGCTGATATAATCCCGTTGATTGGCCATGGTTTCTTCAATCTAGCCCTGAAACTGAAATGGAAAAAAAAGTAATTGATTCTACAGTCTTAATGTTTAAAGAAAATTAAAAAAACCCCAATATACCATAAAACAAACAAATTCCCAGCACTGAATTTGGTTTATAAGTCCTATACACAGTTATAAATTTGTGTTTTAAGTGACTTTTACACTGAATTTGATAATACTTCTACTTTGCAAAATATATATGCATAGCATACTTTGAAAAGCAAAGTATCTGACACATATCAAAGAACAACTCTAAAAATAGTACCCACCTGTAGGAATTCTTTCAATAAAGTCCACAGGAAGCACACCAAGGAGTGTGTTAAAATCTTTAATGGTCATTTAAGAGAAAGACTAGCTCTAGGCTTAACCTCAGAAAACCCCACTCTTACAATCAGATGTAAAATGAAGATGCAAAAGGAAAACTTTGTTACATAGTTTTAGATTCCAAAAGGCTCATCTGTATACTTATAAATCCCCAAACTCAAAGCAGACCAATGGTCGTTCTACAGCTTACAGTGGAAGGGAGGTACAGGCTACTAGACAACTCTAAGTGGATTCCCATTAGGCACTCTGGACTAAAATAACAGAATACAAACAAACACAGACAGCCTGGCCTAATCATAGGATTGCTGAGCCTTACCAAATGGGGTCATTTAGAGGCAGTTTGGTGACAGTACAGCTTTGAGTGTTTAGTCAATTCATACTGATTTTATCTTGTACCTCTAGTCCTGCTATGAAGCTGTATGTTTGCTTACAGCTTATGCTGCACACAGTGAGCTTCATTTACAGTGGCATAAATTAACTGGCTTCAGAACTGATTTAAATTTAAGACAGTGCAATCTCCCTTTCAGCAGCCATGTTCTTCTGGTGAAAATCCCTATCCTGAAGTGCATTGTTTGTATGGTAAGTTGAGCTTCATTATTTTTTACATTAAAATACTTTACTCCACTGTGACAACATAAAGAAACTTTAAACAGGAGTATATTTTATTTACACCTATTTAAAAACTATGTATACTGCGACAGATGCATAAACTGCCCTTACTGCAAATTTGAGTCAAGCTTCCCTATTTTAAAGCTTAAGGAAACATTCCAAGGTTTTTCTATTGCAGGATTCTGCTTCCACAATTCCAATTAAAATTAGCAACAGATAACGGCCCACCTGAATTGACAAAGAAGGGGATAAAAAATTCCAAGCCAAACCCGGAAACCAGGAAAATATTGGTTTTGTTTTTTTAATTTCATGAAAAGACTTATTTGATAACGTGATACATTCAGAGCAAATTAAGCCATCAGGCAGTCTTCTTCATTGGGAGGTACTTTCATAGCAGACTGATCTATACTTTATCTAGTCAGGTAGCTCCAACCACAAATAGACCTCCATGTCTCCTGGAATAGAAGAGATCCATTGATCTTGCTGCCAGCACTGGCACCCTTGGAGCAGGCATCTTCTCCTTCCCATGGCCAGACTTACTCTTTCCATTCTAAGCCTGAGGAACTAGGAAAATACAGAAGAACAAGACCACCATTTATTCTGATGATGTATGGCCTCATAAACCCCAACTTCTATAAATCATAAAGCTTTTTTGAATGTCAGGATTCTCTAGAATACCCTTTTCTTATGAACATAAAAGCCTGTTCCTCAAAACACTGAATCTTCAAAAGAAGAGTTGTTTCAATAAAATTAGTTTCCCACATTTGCAATAAATGTTTTTTTTTAAAAAGTAAGTTAATTTGAAGGTTTATTTGGCATCATGTAAATTAACAGTTCTTCTAAAGGAAATGTAAACCTTTTCACAAAATTCTGGAATAGATAGTAGGTTTCTCCTTTTACATGGAATTTCTATAGCAAGCTCCAACCTACTACTTTCTGTAGGTAAAATTACCAATTTCAGTAATATTAATCTTTGGATAACCAACACAGAAACATCTAATGTCATCAAGCCCGTCTGCTATTTTAGGCAAAGACATAATCACTTTCATAAAAGCAATCTACATTTCAGAAAGTTTTCTTTTACTGACACTATTTCCACAGAAAAACTATTCCAGTACATTGGTGCCAAGACTGCAAACCTTCTTTTAATTACACAATCAACTTATTAATGCTGTCATGTACATATATTTGTTCTTCTCTCAAAATTGTAATTTTTGACTTAATTTTCCTTTGTATATTTATTCACTCATAATTATCAAGAAGTGTTGATATCTTCTCTCAACTTTTATTACAATGACCAACTGTCAAACTTTCCAAGGTGCCTTTATAAGACTGAATTTTTGTTTTCCTTATTATTTCTTGCAGTTTTCTCTTCATCCACTCCAGCTTGATCTCATATTTCTTTCACTGATATCAGATTTGTTGTACAGCATTATGGTTAAGATCTCAGCAGTGTCTCACTACTCCACTCTGCAGGTCATCCAGTGCATCCTAATCCTAATCTAGAATACCAGTGTCTCTTTACATTTTATTAAAAGCAAATTTCAGCAGTATACCTCCATCATTTTGTCCATCATTAGGGAAGATGCTAATGAATACTGTGCTATGGCTCAGCCTAAATCACCCTCCCCTCCACTCCATTAAATAAATAACTATTTAAAAATTCAATTCTCATCTCCCTTGTAGCCAGTTCCTCCTTTATTTGATAATTTTGGTACTAATTTACCACTTTATTGCATCTATTGACGATTTTAGAGCCCTCCAATATATCTTAACAATTCAGCTAATACTTGGTATGTTAAACAAGGCCAAGTAGCATTTATAATTACTTCATGTAATCTTCTACAAAGCCATGTGAATTAATCAATAGTTAGTTATATTTATAAGTATTTGATTAAGTTGCTGACAAAAGGGTAGAAAACATAGGGGGTGCAGACATATGTTGTGTAGGTCTGGAGTTCAGGAAAACTGTGTGATGAGCCTCCTTATATTTGCTCCATTTACTCCCACAGGGTTCCAGTTACAAAGTCTGTTTTTATGTGGATTACCAAGAACCAAACTCCAGCAGAGGTTCGCTAAGAGTTAGAATCTCCCACTTTTGTTTCTTAATATACAGCTGTTTGCCATACAGCTTCTTATCATGGCACGCAAACGCTATATACTCAAGCCCTCTTCCATCATCTGACCCACAGGGTACTTGTCAACAACCAGCCTTCCAGCATCTCCTGTAATGTGGCGCATCAGACCCTGAGTACTGGAGTATGTGACTGGGTATTGCCTGCGGTGAGATCAGGTGTGTTCTCTGATTTGACCAAATTCAAGCTAACTTGCCACTTGACAAGGCTTCTCTGCTTGCATACTGAATGTTTACACATCTTATACTGACAAATGCCTGGTTAGCTATTAGCTTGGTTTTATAAAAGAAACCCAAAACCTCCAAAACCAAACCACCTTAGAGTTCATACGCTTGCCCTGTTTTTCTGCTTGAAAGTCACATTAAACAAGTCGCTCACTGGCCATTACAGTGAAATTTGATTCAGACTTCAAAGTTATGAAGGTCAACCACACATAATACATGTTTGGGGAGATACACATACCTCTCAAAGCAATCTGTACAGATCTCCAGTTAAGGGCCAAGGCATTCTGCACATCTGATAGTTACATGGCAAGAAATGGTCAGTCTATGTATGGCCACAAAGCTCCTAGCAGCTGAACAAGGGAGGCTAGGGACGATAAGGTAATTTTGGTCATTACAGTGGATGAACTAACGGACTACCTTGGAGCTCCAAGGGTAAGAACATTCTTATGGTCTGTCACAAAGTCCACTACTAAGGAGCCAGACCTCATTAGTTCTGCTGTTCACAAGACCTCTCAGATTTAACACTGTCCTTCTCCCAAGATGGTAAGGGATGGAGCAGCATAGAACATAATGAGCTTGTTGACCTACATGCCAGGTAACCCACACTGAGAAGTGTGATAAGCCCAGGGTCAAAATACAAGATATAGACACATTCCCATTAATAGTATCTAACCTATTGGTAAGAAGCTACAAGAAAATGTTTAACTGACTTTAATACTTGTATACGAAGCAAACAGCAGCCAAAACCACTCACTGAGTTTCTAGGGGAATTCTTTTACTTCAACAATGCTGATGTTACCTTTCCAAAGACAGTTATAAGACATAACATAGTTATAATGTGTAACAGGAAGTCCAGCTGCCCTTTTGAGTATCAATTTCCTACTGGTATTTGTTGAATCCTAGATATTACACTACGAGACTGTAAACACAGCATACCATTAACTTTATAGGTGTCCCAGAACATCCAGGGCAGCCATTTTCAGAATATCTCAACAGGCATACACTAAAACATAACCACTGCAGTATGCCTCCTAGAAATGGTGTTCACATCCATTCCACCAGATTTGAAACAGCAAAGCAAACAGAATTGTGGAGTGAACTCTAGTTCTCACCAGAGCATTGATCAGAACTCTAATATACTCTAATATAAAGTACATATCTTCATAAACACTTTTGCTGGAAGTCAAAATAGCCTTAGATGCTGTGCCTGACAGATAAAATAGTTACAGATACTTTAATGTGCTAATGAAGTTAGACTGGTATAAGATGTGCAATTAATTCCAAGTGTATAACAGAGGAAAATTTATTAAACAAGGGAGGGCAAGGGCCTATGTAATAAGAATGAACACCCAGGTGAGGACACAGGGTACAGAATAACACTGGAGAAGATTTACACAAAACTGATTTGATCACTTTATAATAGTAAGATATATATATATATATAAAAAAACATATGTGACTTTGTAACAGCCTATGGGATGTTGTTTTGTGAAAGTACTGAGCATATATAAGTATCGTGTATACATTAAGTTAGCACTTCCTCAGAAAAAACCTTTTAGGGACATACCTCCCTGACAACAAACATGGCCAAACCTTTGTAATGGAACTGAAGCCTGAGACTGTTCCCAGCACATGGACAACAATACGCATTCAGGGAGTACAAATAACATTCTGTGTGTAGATGTTCTCTCCTCTACCAATGCAGCTGGCAAAAACAGTCTGTAAACTCAGCCTTTATTTGTTACTTTACTATTTAGAAACAATTATAAAACAATCTATCTGCTTTATCCCGAAGCACAATATAGCTGTGCTACAGCACTCTCTGTACAGCACTCTCTCACCAATAAAAAAAATAATTAATTCTTAATAGCTCTTAGCAGATATCTTATGAGAAATAAATTGTTCTTCAAGAGAACATTACCTCTGTCACTTAGCCTTCTCCCAGCTTGGATAGTATGTCTTACTAGATAGCATGATTTTAAAAAAGAGCAGTCTTAAATGCTGGTATTTTACAGCATACTTTATGTACCAATGAAGATAATTAAGACCAACAAAGATAAAGAAATTGTATACATTTCTCTAGACAAGTTTTAGAATTATTTTCATACAAAATTTAACTGTACAGTTAATGTAAGTTTTGAAAAGGTCAAGGTCAGCATTTTAAAATCTAATGTTAAAAATAAGTACTATATAATTACGTCTACTATATACCTATCAAGATGACTTGCTATTTTCATTCCTTATCTCTTCAAAGGAGGAAAAATTAGTAATTTGTTAACGATTTTTAAAGATACCACTCCCCACTACACATTTAATTTAACAGCACCTAATTTAATATTCAGCAAGATGAATGAGGGGAACAGGTATCCAAAGGATTTGGTGACACTTCTAACTGCTGAGTAAAAAAACAAGAGTAGATTGAAATGTAATTAAATTATAAATACTAATTACAAAGTTCTGTACTTGAATTATTGTTTTGACTGTCATTGACTGACTATAAAAACAGAGTAACAGAATTCCAGGTTCCTCATTGGAAATTTTGATGCAGCTCAGCCTCACAGCTTTTTCATAAATAACTGAACTTCAAAGAAAATGAATATTCAGTCAATCATTTTTAGGCCATCAAAAAAGATGCATGTGACATTCTGAGACATTTAATCCACAAAAGTGGCATTTATCAATAATATATGTTGAGACAGTATTCTAAGAAGGAAAGGTGACACAGAGACTTTAAAGCTTTGGGCTCTTTAGAAATGATTGGAAAAAAAAAAAAAAAAACAGCATAAAAAAACCCCAGCATGGTACCGGTAGGAAGCAGTGAAATTGCAGTGATTCCTGGAGGCATTCCAAAAATGGACAATTCCCTCTCTGCAAGCAGTGATCTTTAATTGCATATCCTCTCAAAAACACATGAATCCATTAAGATAAAG